ATGATATATATTCTTTAATCTGTATTACACTATTACTTATTATATTTTATAATTATATGTATATTATTATTTAAAACATGATATATTCTTTAGTGAAAATGATGCATATTTATGTAAAATAGGTATGCAGGTCTAATATTTAGGTCAACCTAAGAGAATAACTAGAATTTTAATATAATATGAGTAAGGACATCAGTGATATAATATAAGTTAATAACCAGTAATTAAAACAAGTCAAACATATAATATATATCAAGCTACATGTAAAAAAAAATATACTAAATGCTGTATAGATAGGTGTATGTAATAATCATTTTAAATGAATTGTTGTAACTCAAGGTTGACATTGCATTTTGCTAGCAAAGGAATATTGGACAACTCATTTATTAATTGTTTTATCCTTGCATCATTAGAATAACAAGACACAAATTGGTGTCTTTTATTGATGCTTTGATGATTGGATAAATGAGTCCAAAGTTCTTAATTTTTTTTTTCACTTTTTTTTTGCAATTATTAACTATATTAACCATTAAGTATTATTAATTTGGGTGGGCTTTTTGAAATTTTTTTCTTCAAATTTTATGAAAATCATAAAATTTCTGTACAACTTGATTTTATTTCGATCAAATGATTTTGTGGGTACAATTGACAGTCTTTCTTCATTGATCCTTCTTGGAAAGAGGTCGTGGATCTTCAAGAACACATTTGGATCTTCAAGAGAATTATTGAGAGCTAGACTTTAATTTATGAGATGTTTTTTGTGACTTTGAGGAGAACTTTATTTATAGATGTGGGAGAGAGAGTCTTGACGAAAAAGAATTCAATTTAATTTGATTGGTCTTCTATATAATCTCTTTCTTATCCTAAGATTTATTCTCATCATAAGATTTGACTTAGTTAGTATAAATATTTTTTACTTTATTAATTGTATATCATATTTATCTTGAATTTATGTCCAAAAATAAATAAAGATATTAATTAGTAAAATATTAAATTAAGCATGTACATGGATGGTGTCGAATGGTTCTTTAGTTATTACTAGTATTTCTTTACCCATCCGTATGGACGACTAATTTTTATTTGATTATACTAAAGATTATATAAGTTTAAATTCAATAACAATAATAAAAACTACAAAAATATATTATCGATTATAAGAAAAATTATTTTCTACGACATTATATACCTGGGGACTTTTCCACTCTTTACAATATATCTTTATACTTTGTGATTTGTCATTTTCTAAATTATACGTATAATTGGTCATGCTCGAAAATTTCAGCAATACATTACATATTAAACGAATACTTTGTGAAATGCTAAGGTCCCGTTATGAAACCATTCTCTCAGAGTTTGTAATCGTTAAATCATCATTTAACCGTTAGAGATAGTTGATATCTAACGATTATAAATCCCGACGGGATGTTTCCATAACGGGACCGTAACATGTTCCTAAATTTGGACCCTTAATTTTGCGACAGGAGACAAATATAGGTGGCATGCACGTTGGTGGAAACTTCTGTCTGATTTCCTCGCTGTTGAAACGAGGATCTTTTATATAGCGACGCGGGGCAAAACATTTATGTAGCAATTTGTTTTACTATTCTATTCCTCTCCAATATTTCATGTTTCACTTAATCAGATTTTAGAAGCCTAAACCAATCATGTCCGAAACCAGAGACCCAGTCTCGGTCTACATCGACTCCATGCTCCTTAGACGGCTGCCTCCCTCCCGGAGCATCCCCACCATCTTCCGAGTCGACCACGCTTCACGCAACGGCAGCCAAAAACTCTACGACCCGAGACTTGTCTCGATCGGCCCATATCACCACCAAACAGCCCATCTCCAGAAAATGCTGCCTCTCAAGATCGCGTACCTCAATGGCCTGCTTAAACGCCGCGGTGAGTCCAACGCCGACAGATACGTAGAGGCCGTGAGGTCCATGGAGGAAGAAGCCCGAAACTCCTACTCCGAGACCATCGAGCTCAACACAGACGACTTTGTTAAGATTCTTGTGCTCGATGGGCTTTTTGTGGTCGAGCTGCTCCGAAAGTACACGATGGACGAGCTGAGGGAGACGGACGACCTGATTTTTCGATACAGCCATGTCCTCGAAATGGTCCAGCGTGACCTCATGCTCATCGAGAATCAGGTCCCTTTTTTCGTGCTGGACCGGCTTTTCGCCATGACGAGGAGCAATGACGACACAATCGACGATATTTTTGAACATGTCCGTACTTTTACATACTACATTTCGCCGTGGTGCACGGAACTTTTGGCAGAAAAACTGTTGAAAATTAACGCCGATCACCTCCTCGGCCTCGTCCACAATATCTTGTTAGAGGAAATGAGAGAAGAGAGTTTCTTTGATATAGATTCGCCTTCGGCCTCCAGGCTGTTGGGAACAAGAGATGTTGTCTCGGACGAAATTGACTCATTAATCCTCCAGCTGCCTTCCTCTCCCATCTTCCAAGTCCGAGTCGACCACGGCAGCGAATATCTCAATGACCCAAAAATCATCTCGATTGGCCCCTTTCACCACCAAAAAGCCCATCTCCAGATAACGCAGCAGCTGAAGATCACGTACCTCAAGGACCTGCTAGCAGGCGGCTGGGATTCCACTGTCAACAGATACGTAGTGGCCATGAGGTCCCTGGAGGAAAAAGCCCGAAACTTCTATTCCGAGAGTGAGACCATCGGTCAGCTCAACCCAGACGAGCTCGTGAAGATTCTTGTTGTCGACGGGCTTTTCGTGGTCGAGCTGCTCCAAAGGAACACGATGGACGAGATGAGGGAGACGGACGACCCGATTTTTGGAAACGAGCAGGTCCTCTTCATGGTCCAGCGCGACCTGATGCTCGTCAAGAATCAACTCCCATTTTTTGTGCTCCTCCGGCTTTTCAAAATGACGAGGGGCTGGAACCCATGGGATGGAGACGTCGACGAGGTTTTGTACCGCGTCCGTTGTTTTGCTGGCAAAATTTCGCCGTTGGCCAAGGATTATTTGGGCACGCTAAAACCGGAGGAAAATAACACCAACGATCACCTCCTTGGCCTCGTCTGCAAAATCGTGTTCGGGAAAACAAAACTTGAGAGGTACGTTGTGGAAATAGATTCGCCTCCGGCCTTTGAGCCGCCAGAAAACTGGTTCGAGAAAATGAAACAGGCCGCATTCGACTGGTTAACCTACAAAATCTTGTTCGAGAAAAAGGAAGCCGACATGCCCGTTGGCGTAAATCTGACCGTCTCTGAGCTGCAGGAAACAGGGGTCGAGTTCAAAGTGTGCTACCGCCGCCCCGACATCACATTCGATGGGGGCGTCCTTAAAATGTGGATACTCAGTGTGGACGAACACACCGAGTCGATTTTAAAGAATTTGATCACATACGAGCAGTTTTTAACCGAAGACGATCCAATCCGTCCAAAATGCGTGTCACACTACATCACCTTCTTAAATTTCCTCGTCAAGCGGCCGAGGGATGTGGAGATATTGAGGCGGCACGGGATTTTAAAAAACTCGCTGGGCGAAGACGAGTTGGTATGCCGTGTTTTAAGGAGTCTTTGGGAAAGTAATGTGGAATTGGTGCGGTGGTGTCGCTACGAACAAGTTCAAGAGGCGTTGAACAGATATTGCGACCAGCGTGTGATTAGGTGGACGGCAGTTTGTAGGCGGTGGATGGCGGAACTGTGGCGGAATTACTTCAATAGCCCGTGGTCGTTTATCAAGTTCTGTGCAGCTTCTTTGCTGCTGGTCTTGACGGTGATACAGACTGTGTTTACTGTCCTGTCTTATACGAAGTCCAGTATTTGAATAAGGTAAGGTGTGATATTTTAGTATATATGAAAATGTACTATATTTATTGAAAAGGCATAACTGCTTAACACTATATTTTTATCCAGTTGCTGCAGGAAAAGAAAAGGAGAGGGAGTCGAGAGGAAGTTGCCACAGACAAAGAGAAGGACACTCGCGGAGGGAAGCTGCGCCAACACACGATAGATAATTCTATTATGTCTTGTTTATTTCTTATCAGTATGCTAAGACTATATTTTTGTCCAAGGGAATATGTTTGAACCTTAATTTTAATTTGTCTTTTTTTTTTTTATTAATTAAGACATCGTATTTATTTTTATTTATGAGTCGATTCATGTTATCTGTATTATTGTTTATGAATTATGGATGTTTGATATAGTTAGACCGACTACTTCGAATAATCATAGTTTAATTGCTAGACTTTATATTTAAATTTGTAGTTGTTATAATTCTCAATTCATTAATAGTAAACTAAAGGTTGTTCATCTCTAGGGTAGATAAATAAAATGCATGAAATGAGAAAGAAGTAAAATGTGGTAAATATTTTTTTTTTCGAAATTTAGAAATTGGAGTAATGATTTTTAAGGGTGTAATTTTTTGGAATTTCGGGTAACATTTTAAGACTTTTTGAGATTTGAGATTTCAGAAATATGTAAAATCTACTTCCCCAAAATGAGAGTTTTTAGACGGCGCCTTCCTCCCCAAACATAAAGCATGCTTCTAGTGGTTGCAGCGAAACAGGTACGATTCTACAGACTTGAACAATCGAAAGCAAGCACTTAGTTATACTTACGGCCCCTCATAGATTGTTTTGCGGCCGCCTTTATTTTTTGCCGCAACTTCCTTTTGTTTGCGGCGAAAAAGAAGGCAGTCATAGAACAGTCCATGAGGGGCCGTAAGTATAACTAAGTGCTTGCTTTCGATTGTTCAAGTCTGTAGAACCGTACCTTGTTTTGCTGCTACCACTAAAAGCTTGCTTGATGTTTCTCACTGGTTGTTTGATTCCCACCTGAATGGGATAGTACCTTGATGTGGTATCGAGTCGTTGTGTCAAGTACATCATCAATTAATTAATTTTTAAAAATTATTATATTCATTATTTTATGATATGTACAAAATCATAAACAATTAATTTGTCTGTAGTTTGGAGTCATAATATATTGTCAGAAACATTTATTTTATCAATCACAAATTACTTTTTATTTCATAAATTTAATTATATTTGAAAGAAAAAAAAATATTTTTTATTTCATAAATTTAATTATATTTGAAAGAAAAAAAAAATGTTTGTTTCAGTCTACTGAATTAGGTTATTGCACATTTTTATTGTACCAACCGGATCATTTTTAAAATGATCCAATATTTTGTACCAAAAAAAAAAAAATGATCCAATATTATATACACAACTTTTGTTGCATTCGAGTGGTTAGTTATAAGTCAATTTGACGAATCAAATCGATTATTAAAATTTAATATGGATTTAATAGTTTGTTCTAATAATTATAATACATTTGAAATAATTAAAGTAAAAATGTTGTCACGAAGAAATGTTGATTAATATTAATTATGTATTTAATTAATAATACTATTGTATTATTGTTTTCCTGAGCATTACACGAGCCATGTACTAGTAAATATACCGTACTAGTTGTTGTTATGTGATTGTTAACAACGATTCGAGAGTTGGTTAAGATGATTTTTATTGATGATTTGAACGTAAAACATGCATAAAACATTCAACAATGACCCCGGTCCGAGGTGAACCGAGGTGAAAAGCTTCAATGAGCTGTTTCGTGTTTCATGGTAAAAAATTTTGGTTCGGGGATCCCCCGTACAAGTATCGGGAATGACTATTTATAGTAACTTTTCAAGATACATATTGGGATTCGTGCGATACTTTTTGTATAAAGCTACTTTTGGTGGGGGCGGCGGCGTCATCGGGTCCCACTTAAATGATGAAAAATCTCGTGGCTCGTGAAAATGGCGTGTAGGCGTCTCGTCATCGATTTAGGAGGTAATGACCTCGGTTTATTGCAACTTCGGTTTTGGGCTGACCTCGGTTGTGAAGGTTCACCTCGGTTTTCTGTGGCTTGGTCGGTTCGGTATGCAGATCGGTGGATGACTATTAGCCGCGTCATTGCTGGTAATAATCCATCTAAGGCGCGGTTTGAGGTTACTAATCTCGGAATATCGAGTTGGATGATAACACTTGTAATATATCAATATGAAATATTAAAAATTATAACTTTAAACGATTTAAAAAAAAAAAAAAAAAA